GGAGGAGCTGGGGCAGTGTTGAGCAGGAGAATCGCTTGAACCTGGGAGGTGGAGGCTGCAGTGAGCCGATTGTGCCATTGCACTACAGCCTGGGCTACAGAGGGAAACTGTCTCAAAAAAAAAAAAAAAAAAAAAAAAAAAAAAGAGAGAGAGAGAGAGAGTGAAATGCAAATTAAAACAAGATACATTTCTACACACCTACCAAGAAGGCTACAATTAGGAAGACTCACTACACCAAATGCTGATGAGAATGCGGAGCAATTGGAACTCTCTTATACTGCTGGTGGGAATGTAGTATGGTACAAGTATTTTGGAAGACAGCCTAAAAGTTGTTTATGAAGTTAAACATACTTATCATACAACTCAGGAATCATACAGTAAATATCTACCCAAGAAATAAAGATTTAAAAGTGTTCCACCCTAGTTGTTTTTTTCCAAAATGTGCTTGAAGTTTCACTAGTTACATCTTCCCTGTTAGCCATCAGGAATGTTTTAAAAAATTTTTTCTTTAATCTCCTTCAAGTACTTGGGGAAGCCCACCTATCCTAAACCTGAAGCAACATTAAATTGCAACTAAAAAAAACAACACACCATCTAGAACAATTTTCCAAACCTCAAGCTGAGACTCAGTAGTGCATATTCTACTCTTTCAACAGTTTTAGGAACATGAAAAAGAACAGAATGTATCCCATCTAGTAAGCCTTAATTTACATCTAGAGAATCCTTTATTTTTGTTGTGTATATCACAGGTTGCCACATAAATGTATTTTTATCATGGATCATTTTAAAAAACACTGATCTATAGCATACCTGTAACATAAGCTCTATGCTACCAGAAGTTTCTAAACCTTCTAAGCACTTCTAACTTGATTCATCCTATTTTAGGAAAAAATGAAACCCACAGTAGAGCTATCATAGTATCTATAGTTGTTATGATTGTTAATACGCCTTTGGTATCTTGCCTTAAGGAATTATCAGCATACTCTGTTACAATTGACAGTGATTTTTCAATACTAAAATCATACATTTTTCAGCTTTCATTGAAATTTCAAGACTAAAGAAACAAAATGTGAATATTCCACTAACTTTTCCCCAATAGCTAAAAAAGGAGGCAAAAGTCAGAAGTTACTAATCTTTGTATAATATACTGTAACTTGGCAACACATTCTGAAGAACCTGGTAATCTAGAATGTAGATGTATTCAAGATGCACTAAAGAGTAATCTACATGCAAAATTATCCATTTCAGAACATACTGACTCTAAGGATACTTAAAGGACACTGACTTCATAAAAAGATGAGAATTCAATCTCCACTAAAAAATTGTCACTGGCTGCCTAATCATAATATACACATTTTATACATTATAATAGATAACTACCTTGAAAGTACCTTAAAATTACTTTTTTATCAATTACTATCTTTTAATTAAGAAGGGTTAGAAAGTTGTAGGAGTCTGTCCAAAAGGAAAGAAATACAAGTAGAAACAACGTATTGAAATAATACTTTCTTTTATTAACAATATTTATCTTTACAAAACTGTATATAAATGGGAAAATGAAATATGTATGGCTAATAAATCACTGATTTCCAAAAGCACTACTCTACACCTAGTATAAAGTAATTTGAGAAACTATTACATTTAAACATTTAAACCTACAGGTATCTCTGACTCTGGACTTTGATAATTATTCTTCAAAACAAAAATTCCAGGAGGCTGAGGTGGGAGGATGGCCTTGAGCCCAGGAGGTGGGCTGCAGTGAGCCATGATGGTGCCACTGTACTACAGCCTGGGGGACAGAGCAAGACCCTGCCTCACCCTGACCCCCCACCCCACCTCCCTTGGAAAAAAAGAATCCTATATTGAAATTTAGATCAGGCTCACGAAGATTAAAATCCCTGTCCTATCCTCTAAATCCATGCTAGTCTAAAACAACACTCAATTGGCCCAGGTGAATCTTGTGAATTTGGGAGCTGTAAGTAAACACATCTTTTTGTCCTAAATAACTTATGGGAAAGTATTCACCTTCATTCCCACAACGTAATAGGAAGTTTTGAGAAGTATAATTTTCTTTGATGGGAAGAATGGAGGTAATCAATCAGTTTAAGTAAAATCAATTACAAATCTTGAATACTACTATTGAAAAGGCACATGCTATGATGAAATAACTGGAAATGCAAATCTACAAGAAAAATTATCCATTTGTCCTATCCTAATTTTACTATTTAGCAGTAATTCACTGCTAAAAATTTGAAGAAATAGAAATAATGAAATTGTATCAGAAAAATACTTACTCTACAACCCTACGACCATCGTAATGTTTAAATATTGAAGTCCTAAAAAAGAATATTATTTCCATAGGAAAATCCTAACTTGGAATTTGACTTTTAAAAGGAAGGCTTTATGAGAGTACTATTCTTTTTTCTTTTTCTTTTTTTTGGGACAGAATCTCCCTCTGTCGCCCAGGCTGGAGTGCACTGCTGCAATCTTGGCTCACTGCAACCTCAGCCTCCATGGCTCAAGCGATTCTCCTGCCTCAGCCTCCCAAAGAGGTGGGACTACAGGCACATGCCACCACGCCCAACTAATTTTTGTATTTTTAGTAGAGACGGGGTTTCAGCATGTTGGCCAGGCTGGTCTTGAACTCCTGACCTCAAGTGATCCACCTGCCTTGGCCTTTCTAAGTGCTAGGATAGGATTGGGCCGGGCGCAGTGGTTCATGCCTGTAATCCCAGCAGTGACGAACGTCCACTTAAAGAAGAAAGGCTGAGTACACACTATGGTACTTCATAATGTTAAATACTACATAATAATTTAAAAGACAGAATGAATCTTAAGATCTCCAAAATGTGAAGAAGTGAAAACAATATTTACAACATGACACCATGTATTCAGGTGTCTCTGTCTCTCACACACACACGCAACACACAGACCTCTCCTAGCATTTGTACATGTACTTATGTGCTTGAAACAATGAAAAGAAAATGGTCTGGAAGAATATTCAGAAAACAGAAAATATTTCTAAGTGTGGCGGAGTGAAATTAAATGGGAGGGATCAAAGGGATTTTTGCTTCATTTTTGAGTTTTTACAAACAAAATTATTCGTATGTTACTTGAGACACTAAAAAGAAAGAATTAAAAAACTGCATGCTAACTTTCCTTAAATAATTTACAAACCAGAACTGGTGGCTGTAATGAGATTTCATTTTCTTCTATTTACTTGAAACCAAAAACAAATGACAGCAACAAACACTTTTTACCTACCAAATGGCAAACTGGAAAGAAAAATTTTTATTTGATATTTGCCGTATCTCTAAATAAAGAGAGTAAGAGTATACAGGAAGAAACAAAAAAGACCTTTTACTAAGTACGTCCATTTTTAAGACACCAAACTTTTTCGCTGACTCGAGCGTGACCCAGAAGCCTCAAAAACAAAAAAGACATGTTATGCAAAACGAAAAAAAGTGGAATACTGCTCCCTCAAGTACTGAAGGTTGTTTTTAGAAAGCTTAACTAAGAAACTGTAAATGCCAAGTGTGTTTTCCAGGGGTGGGAAGAGGAACGTGAAACCCAACACCACCTTTAAGCGGTCAAAACGAACTGAAGAGCAGAGTCGAACTGGGAGAGCGCGCGGGGGTGGGGAAAGCTCAGCTATCACTTTTAGGTTTTGGCTCAGCGCCGCAAAAACAGTTTACACGGATTCTGTGCGAAACGTGAAGTCCCTGAGGGTGGCCAACGCGTCGCAGTCGACACCTAAACCCCCTGGAGATTGAAGGCGAAGGTGGGCAACAACAACTTAGGTTCTTCGGCTGAGCGGGGAAAGCGCGCTGGAAAAGAGCAAAAGAGCCAACTTTTGCTCTAAACGCTGCAAGCTCCTAAAGGTTCCGCAAGTCTCCGGAGTTCCAACCCTTTAGCGACCCCAACACCTTTGCCCACCGCCTGGCCCTCCGAGAAAACCCAGCAAGGGCGGCGGCTGGCAGCAGGCACAGGGGGCTTGACTGTGGCAGGCGCGGGGTTCGGCGACCGAAGCCCCACCCAACACCCCAGAGTCTCGGGGCGCCCCCGCCGAGGCGCTGTCCCACCTCCAACAGCCCCAGAGGCGCGCCCCCTCCCCCACTCTGGGCGGCGACCTCAGCGCCTCCGCCCCGGGGCCCCCGCTCACCCAGGTAGCGGCTCCGCAGCCGGGACGGGTCCTCCAGCCCGAGGGACCTTTTCCTCACGTCCCACAACAGGTGTGGGCAGGACCCACCCCGAGACATGGCTCTGCCTGAGCCGGGTGGGAGGGGAGACCACCGCGTGGGGGAGGGGAGGAGGGGGAGGGGACACCCGGATCAACACCCGAGCCGCACCGGCACCATCCGCGCGCCGGGCCTCCAGGGCGCAGCGTTAGATGGCGGTGGCAGCGGCGGCGCCTGGGCCCCTGAAGCCCGTCCGCACCCGGGCCGGAGCTCGCCTCATACTCTCCTTCTCAGACTAACCAGAATATCCAAAGATCAGCAACAGTCTCCTCCCTCAGCCACCCTCCAACAGGAGCAGGAGGAGGCGGAGGCGGAGGCGGAGGCGGAGGCGATGACGACTCCTCCCTCTCCTCGTCTTGGACACCCTCCCCGCCAAGGCTTTCTCGCGAGATGACGACCACCCTGGGGACTGAGGCCAGTGAGCGCCGCGGCTGCCCTCACCCTGGAAGAGTGCATTCACGCCATTCTAGCTAGATCCTTAAGTCGCTAGCGATAAAACAGGAGTAGAGAGAGAAGAGACTCAGGTTTGTAGTCTTTCGCTCACGAGTCTCCAGTCAAAAGAAGCGAGAGAATTGTACGGCATCATCTTTAGTTGAGGCACGGAAGGCCAGAAAAGCCCATTTTAACTACGGGCCTGCTTAATCAAAGTGAAGGGGCAGTAGAGCCGGCGCAGCTTCACTTTCCCTTCTCCAACATGGCCTCGAGGGCAGGGAGGAGAAGGAGGAGTTTCCCTCTCGACTCCGCCCGCCCCTGGGGGCGGGCCAATCGTGGCGCGCAGCTCGGCCTGCGCAAGCGCGCTGACAGCAGGGCGCTGGGTGGACTCGGTGAGGTGATCATTTTGGCACCTGTTGCCAAGGCTCCTCCTCCCTGTCTCCTGCGGGGGGCCGGAGGCGGGCCCGGGGCGGGCCATCGACAGTCCCCGCCCCCTCAACCTTCCTCGGGTGCGGGCCGCAGCTTGTAGGTTCATTGCGTGGTGGGAAGGGCCACGGGAAGGGCACTCCAAGCAAGAGGGGGACGCGAGGCGCTGTGGCAGGAAAAAGTGACTAGCTGCCCTTCGTTGTCAACCAGGGTCGAGAACACAGCCACGCTCCCACCCGGCTGCCCACAGTCCCTCGGCGGCGATGTCGGCCGCCGGTGCCCGAGGCCTACGGGCCACCTACCACCGGCTCCTCGATAAAGTGGAGCTGATGCTTCCGGAGAAACTGAGGCCGTTGTATAACCATCCAGCAGGTAATGGACCCGGAATGGCTTCTTATCGAGATCTTCCTTCCCCCTTCCTCTAAAATGGACCTTTTAGAGGCCCGCTAACAACTGCCGCTAGAGGCATCCCACAGCCCCAACCCCTTCCCTTCAAGGGAAGCCGTCTACTCTCCTAACCTCCCGCAATTCACCTCTCTCCTGCAACATCTGTTCCTAAGCCAACGAATCTCAAGTCAGTGCCCTTCCCGACCTGTATGGCATCCTCTCCCTTACGCACGACTCCAACCCAAACCTGGTCTCCAAATGTGAGCCTTCTCAACTTCTGCTGCCACCAGAGGGGTCTGGGGCCACCATGAAACTCTTCTCTTTCTCTTCGCGAATTGTGGCATATTAACCCACACGAGGCAGAGCTGGATGGGTGGCTTGTCGCACTGGAGGGTTTGGAGTAAAGGTCACACTTTATTCAGCTTCTGCTGGCAGAGGCCTGCGGACTGAGCCCTCCCCCAAACTGCATGCTTTACTTCACTCAGGCTTGAGTCAGTGTCATTTCTCATCCCATAGGTCCAGTGTGTTCCTTTAAGTCTATTCTTATTTATGAAATTGTTGAACAAGCTCTACCCAGAGCTTTCTGTGTGTGTGGAAAGACCTGGATATCATTCTCTTCTACCATTTATTAGAGTTGTGACCTTGAGCAAAAGCCTAGATCTCCGTTTCTGTAAATGTGTGATCTGCGAGAATGACAGATAACATATGTGCTTGACTCTTTGTAAATGCTCGGTAAATGTTAGTTCTCTCTTGGCCTACTGGAAAACTGTGTTCTTTTTTGGGGGGCGGGGGAAGCTACTCTGTAAGAAACGGAAAGATTCCAATCCCTTTATTAAATATCTAGAATTCTGTGACCTCTTCTATAAAGTGGGTTGTAGTAATATTTATTTGGCTAGAGGCTAACATCAGATGTATTCTGAGGTTTCTTTCAAGCCTAAGACTTGGCAAACTAGAAAATGTGTTGTAAATTGAAAGATTGAGTGCTACCCAAAAAGTGGCTTTTCTCCTACATAGTTAAAATCTGTATTCTGCAGTTGGTATCATTAGGAAGGTTGTCTGTTTCCCTCGTTATCTGATTATGAAACAGCTCTCTACAGAGTGAACTGGTTACTAAATGTGATCTCCAGTTCGATCATGGAATGAACATCTGGATTATACTTTAGTTTAACTCTTAATATTATTTACTGCAGTATTGAACCCATTATAAAACTGATTAAGGAGTTTGTTATTGATTTTTTTTGTTTTTGTTTTTTGTTTTGTTTTGTTTTGTTTTTTTGAGACGGAGTTTCGCCCTCGTTGCCCAGGCTGGAGTGCAATGGCGTGATCTCGGCTCACCGCAACCTCCGCCTCCTGGGTTCAGGCAATTATCCTGCCTCAGCCTCCTGAGTAGCTGGGATTATAGGCATGCGCCACCATGCCCAGCAGGTTTTTTGTATTTTTAGTAGAGATGGGGTTTCACCATGTTGACCAGGATGGTCTCGATCTCTTGACCTCGTGATCCACTGATTTTAAAAGTTTTTGTTTATTTGCCTTTTAGTTCTTTTAACATTCAATTTTTTCAGAATTATGCTGTGTTTTGTGGCAAAGATTTTCAGGAAGGAGGGTTGAGCTATGGTTCTGTAATGATCTGGGCTTTACTGAGTCAACTGAATTTTGTGAAGTCGCCTCTGACCCTCATAAGCTTTGTGTTTGGGGTGTAGGATAAGGGCATGGCAGAGTAAGAGTAATTTTAAACTACTTAAAATAATAGAAAATTGGAGGGTAGTCTTATCTTGATCTTTTCCAAGGCTTTTGTTTTTAGCCACCTGTAATTACTGCTTAAAATACTACTGAGTTTTCAGAATGAAAAGGGACTACCTTTCACTTGTAGGATGTGCATTTCATCTGAAAATCCTTGGATTCATTCAGTTATTTAAACCACCTTTTTCAGTGCAGTAAAAGAAGCTAGGCTTTGGCCGGGCGCGGTGGCTCAAGCCTGTAATCCCAGCACTGTGGGAGGCCGAGGCGGGTGGATCACGAGGTCAAGAGATCGAGACCATCCTGGTCAACATGGTGAAACCCCGTCTCTACTAAAAATACAAAAAATTCAGCTGGGCATGGTGGCGCGTGCCTGTAATCCCAGCTACTCAGGAGGCTGAGGCAGGAGAATTGCCTGAACCCAGGAGGCGGAGGTTGCGGTGAGCCGAGATCACGCCATTGCACTCCAGCCTGGGTAACAAGAGCGAAACTCCGTCTCAAAAAAAAAAAAAAAAGAAGCTAGGCTTTGAAGGAAGATAGACCTATGTTTCAGTCTTAGCTGTGTGACCTTGTCCCTAAATTCCTGCCTTAGTTATCTTATCTATAAAATGGGAGTAATTATCATCATTTAAGGATTGTTGTGACAATTAGATGATCTAATGTCTCCAAAACATGTAGCACAGCCTTTGCAGTTTGACTCTCAATAACTGTCAGTTCTAAGATTTGAACAATATACGGAGTAAAGATATCTATTACAGCAAAATTATTTCTAATTGACAAGTTGGAGGCACACCAGTGTAGAGATGGAGAAGCTTGAAAAATACATTGACTGATGAGTATTGAATAAAATCTGAGGAAACACTGATTATTGTCCTAAGACTTATCCAGAGTAAATATTCAAGGATTTTGCATATTATTTTGCCTAACAGTATTTGTTATTGAATTACCATTGAAACATTTGTCTAGATTCACATACATGGAGTTTATTAAATGATATGAAATGCCAGAATATTAACACTTGGAAATCATACATTGCTGATTCTAAATTTTTGAGATTTAAGTTTATCACTGATATTGTATGTCTCAACAGGTAACAAAGATGTGCTTTTATGTATAGATACATATTTTAGTTACAATATTGTATCTCTGACTTGTGACCCATAATTTTGAGGCTCTCATTATCCATTTACGTATGTGTTGTTTCTGGCATGTCATGATCTGCCTCTGTAGAGAGGGAATAGCGTTCTAGCCAGACGTGTGTCCTAGTCAAGTTCAACTCAAAAAGAATGGCACTCACCTCATTATCCCCCACCTGACTATAAAAGTGCGTGACTCCACACTAGTCAGCTGCATAGCTGTACTCCAGTATTTGTCAAAGAAATAACCTTGAAGTTATGTTGCCCAGTGTTTTCTTTTTTCTTCTTTTTTTTTTTTTTTTTTTTTTTTTTTTTTT